CCCTTTGCTATATATACTTGAATAAAAATCCTAGCTTCCAAGAGGGTAGACGTTAAAAAAAAAAAAAAAAAAAAAAACCAAAAAAGCTATTTATTATTAATTTAATAAATTTTCTTTATTGCTAATACTAATATTTCGAATAGTAATATCTGTAGATGTATTGTTAATTAAATAAAATAATTTTTGATTTTCAAATAACATTATATCATAAACTACAGATTTTTTTTTGCTTCCTTCTCCCATCGTAGTATCTCCAAAAATATATGAACCTAATAATAATTTATTAAAAAATATATATTATAATGTCACAGCTAAAGCTTGAAATGGCTGAAGCTTGAAATTTTAAATACTTTAATATAAAATTTTCAAAAAATTTTGAAGTGCATTTTTTTAGCTTTTTTTTATAGTTAGCTTAGGATTTAGAGTTAGTTTTGATAATTAAAATATATAAGTAGATTTTGGTAGGATTATATTTTTAAATTAAGGTCCCTAATTTCAATCTTTAGCCATTTCAAGCTTTAGCTGCGACAATAAATATAAGTTTAGCTAAATTTTACATTATCTGATTGTGATTCTTTTTTTCTAAGCTAGAGGTAGAAAAAATTCGTAAAGAGAAACTTTTCGCCTTTAGTTGCTGTATAAATAAAGGTATATACTTTGCAAATACATGCATATACAGTATAATATCTGCTTTTCGATAAAGTTTATATTTTTGTGAAGAATTTATAGAACCCTGGGTTGGATGGCAAAAAGTTCAAATCTAGTTTTCTGCATCAACTTTATATTGATCGATTTCTTGATCAGAAGGTTGTGATTGTCGTATAGTATTATATAATCGGTAAGATTCACGCCATAATTGTTCAATATCCTTTTTCCATGTACCAGAGATAAATTGTAATACAGAAAATTTTTCTAGCATTTTTTTTTTATCTAAACCCATCAATAAAGTCCAATCCTATTTGTTACTCATAGATTTAAAAAATTCAAACTGAATTGCAAGGCCTTTAAATATTGCTTCAATAGATGGTTTGATTTGTTTTTCAAATTCTTTTTTTTTGAATAGATCATTAAAAAACATTCCAGTAAAATATCTGAAATACGTAAAAGTAAATGCAATTCATCAGGAACATAGTTTTCTTGATCAATTGCAGGAAACAAAGATGGTTTTTTTGTATCTAATTAGAAATATTAATTTTAAAATTAATAAATTCTATACAATTATAGTTGTTGGGTGAAACCTTATCTGTACGGTAATGAAAGATGAAACCTAAACCCAGAAAGATAAAACTCCCTAGCAAAAGATAAAACCCAAAATTTTTCTGATAGGATTGGAATGATGGTCTTTCACTTGAAATTTCCCAAAGAATCACTCCAAAACTATATAGATCAAATTTCTTATCATGTTTATATTTGTGATCAGCAAGGTATACATAGATCCTATATACACCGGTATTCTATAAGCAATTGAGATTGAAGTCATAGATATTTCATTTAACTATTTTGATAGTTCAAAATCTGCAATCTTTGGTTGTCTTTGATGAATTAAGATATTCTTCAAATGATAAATTATTAAAGTATTAGCGAATTAATAAATATAAAAATTGGGTAAAATGTATATATAATACTTGCAAGGTCTCTATGAATAATATCATTATTATGTAAGAATAAGAGTTCGAGTGCTATTTTCTTAGTTTGTGCATCTATTGTAATCTTGTAAAATTCGATTTTAGGTATCTCTCAAATTCTATCATCAGCATATTGTAAAACCATATTATGATGTCTATTGTTATTTATATGATAATTATTTTCTTTTGTAAATTTGAGTTTTGCTGCTTCAACATTTAACGAGTATATTTCAAGAGCCAGTGATCTATTTCTTCATCTTCTATTAGTCAGTTTTGTTACCTTTCGTCACTAGGCTTCACATTTAATTAGCACAAAACCTCAGGGTCTCATCTAACAACCATATCTACAATGCTCTAAAAAAAGTGTGCAATTAACTTACATTTAGAATTACTAGAGTTTACCCAAACCTGATCCATATCCTATCGTGACTCTGTATCACAATTACAATACAAGCAAAAATACTTGGTGTTCGGGGTATTTAATCCTATTACTATATACATAAATTTCCAATCTCCACAGAAATATAACTCTACAGGCCAATGAATACTATCGCTATCTAAAAATCTATTATGTTTGAGATCACAGAGTTCATACTCAAAAATACAACTAACCTTTGCCAACACATTATACTTTTTTTTCTGACATATAAACAAATACTAAATAAGCAAATAATTAAATCTATTAAACTTAGTAATATAATAGTGGGCTTTTTAGGACAATTTGGGTGTATTTTTAAAAAACGCTTCCGTTTTTCTATAGATTTCAG